TCTAAGATGAGTTCCACTTTCATTGCTAAATTTTAAAAATATTATATTACTTCTAATATTAATAATATTTTTTAATATATAATAGTACATAAGCAATTTATATTGAAAATAATTTTTCTTTTTATATATTTAATTATAACATTTTATTGTCCAAAAAACAACATCAGTATTGGAAACTAGTGCTTTATCTCACCTAGAAGATAACTATCATGGTATATATAAATAAAAATATAAAAAAAGCACTAGTTTCCCATACTATTCTAACTTCAAATTTTGAAAATGTCGAATGGATTGGATTGGATGGAGAATTTAAAATTAGCGGAAAAATAAAATAAAAGAACTAGACATATTTTTCGAATAAATATTTAAAATTTATTTTAAAAATATAAAAATAATCAAATACTGTCTCCCAAAATTATTATTTATATATTAAAAACATTAAAATGCTAAAAAAAAATTGTGGGAGAGATTAAAAAATTGTGGGAGATTTCTAATTGTGGGAGTTTTGTGGGAGTGAGATGTATGTGGGTAAACTAAAAATTTGTGGGAGACTACCACTGATGGGGGGAGGCATGGCAACCCTGGGTGGGAGGAACCTGTCAACCAACATTATGCTGACTCAATTCTGTAAATACACTCTGGTTTTTGCCAAATTCACTGAGGAATTATCAGATCAGAAAGCTACCATGCAATTCATTGGTAATCCCAAATCTGCCATATTTACCATTATATATGGTTAGCTATGTCTTTGGATATTTCATATCTGGAGAAAATTTTTTTAATAGTTTTATTAAAATGACATTAATTTTGTTGAAATAGGGGAGGATCAAGGGAAATGTTTTGATATCTCCTTATTAGATGCATCTGTTAGAATTGCATATGTTTGCACATCTTTCAAATCGTCAAGAATTGACCTTCTGGATTTATATCCTAAAACATTGTTGATAGCCTTGCTCATTTTGTGTTCTACAAAGTATTCTATTCATTTATATTAGTCGTTAAATATTATGGAGAAAGATTCTACCAACATTGAGATGTTGAGTAACTCTCTGAATGTTGTACTGCATGATAGGTATTTACCATTTCCGCAACTGTAGTTGCATCTATATTATTTCTTATTTTTGAAGAGAATATTTTTGTTTTGAAATAGATGTTGATAGAATGCCCTGTACTGATTTATGCTTTGAAGATTTTTGATACCTCAAAATATCAAATTCCTTTCCCCCATTTATTTTTTTACATTGTAAAATTACAATTTTTTATAAAATTTTATCTTGTTTACATTCTTTTGTATTTAAAAAAGATCGTTGGTTATTATTTTTAAACAAAATTAATATATTATAATAAATCAATATGTTTTTTTAATAATAAAGATAGTACTCTAAGAAATTTTGTGTCGTACAGTAATTACCTATTTTGAAAAATAGATGGGTATTTTATTTTGGAAAATAGTTAACTATTTTATTTTGAAAAAGAGTTGGATATTTTATTTTGAAAAATAATTAGGCTATTTTATTTTGAAAAAGAGTTGGATATTTTATTTTGAAAAATAGTTGGCTATTTTATTTTAAAAAATAGTTGGCTATTTTATTTTGAAAAAAAGTTATTTTATTTTAAAAAAAGTTAGCTATTTTATTTTGAAAAATAATTACCTATTTTATTTTGGAAAATATAGATTAGATTTTATATTTATAAAAAAAATAAGTGGATAACTAAGTCAATTCTAAATCCCGGCCTGCAAAAAAATTTTTTTTAGCAATTTCTCCCACAATTTTTATATTTCTCCCACAATTTGAAAATTTTGACCTGGCAACCCTGTCCATGTGTCCACAATTGATTTCTCATGGCCCATGCTGTTTCCGCGTGCATGCCAGATATATCATCTATCTTCTTATTTATTACAATAAAATAATGTCTACCAGCTTTTGTTATTAATATAAATCAAAGCCATGAACAAACATTTACATAAGTTGGTTTTTACTTGCATGAGCATATCTTAGTTCAAAATACCAAGATTATATTACCTGCACATCATCAAGGTAAACATTTGGATAATAATTTCTTTTTATCCCTAACATTGTTTTACAGGATATTCTTACTTAAATATATTTTTAAATAAAATTCTTAGATACTTCTTTATTATTTTTTTAAATATTTTTATTTTACACACTACTATTATATAATATCATTCCTTATGGTTTTTTACCCTATATTTTTAATCATATTTCTATTATATCAAAGCAAATTTTTGCTATATATTTTTATTTGATTTTATATTTAATATCCAATAATATTCTTTTGTACACAATATCACTTACATAATAAAATATATATTGTAATAACCCATTTAATTTTTTGTCTTTGTTTTATATTAAAAAATAAAATTTGACATTATATTTTTTAATTATCATTTGTGATTTGGCACTTTTTGCTCATTTAATATTCAAATCATTTGTGTTTCAATTTCAATGCCATTTATGATTTACCACCGTTTATGAATAATCACCATATGTGATTCACATTTTGTCAGGCTCTCCGGCTAGTAATATATTACTTCTTTTAAATATTGACTGACAGTAGCCAGGTAAATGCTAGAATTAGATAAGTCCGGTTAATTAAATTTTTATGAAGCGAAAATTAGAGATCGAATTTTCATCTCCGGCTAAATATCAAACAGATACTTATGGGTTCTTCAGCAGTCTCATCATTTGATTTAACTAGAGAACAAAACTCTGCGTCTAATATCATGAGAACTGACTTTTTTCCCTCATTGTGGGCATAATAATTTTCCTTTCGAGAAATAAGTTTCAATTTTAGAAAATGATCAGTGCCCAATTCTTCTAATATTAACACCCTATTTTTTAAAAAATGATCACCCTATTTTTTAAAAATTAGCTCTATTTAGAAAAATCGATTTTTATACGTGGCTTTAAAAATATAAAATTAAACATTCATTTTCATGAAATGACTTTCCCTGTAGTTTTATAGATCATTTTGTTATAATAGTATTATTATTTAATATTTATTTTTTTGCGTAAAGCAACCTGGATAAATGGCGAAAGGTCAAAACCTATCTTTTATTAAAAAAAGGTATATTTTTTCCAACTAATTATTTTTTTATGCCTTCAATGTTATTTAAAGAAATTTAAAGATTCATCCCCTCCATAGGAAAGGTTTAGTTTCATGAATCAAACTGACCTTATATATTGGTATTGGTCGCATTTTTTCTCTCAAACTTATCTCTAAGTCATCAGTAACTCTTCTGTGGGGATTGAGGAATTCTTAAAACTATTTTTCTTAAAACAATATAAAAACTTGCATCTTATACATATACGACATTGCATAATTTAAGTCGATACTGTCACTCTTTATCATCTTTATTATAAGATCCACCTGTACCAGAATATCTTACCAAATAACCAAGATGCCCCAAAAGCGGAAAAAATTTGGGCAAAGATACCACTTCTGTTCTACACTTTGTGTATTTTGTTGTTTTAAAAAATTTCAACTAAAGCCACAATAACTAATCTGAAATTAGATCTTTTTTACACCTTCAAATTTGCATTCCCAATAGGTTTCTAATGATGGTTTTAATCAATGTGAAACAATTAAAATTTATATTCTTTATTTATTCAATATATTCATTAGTAGTTATTTAATATTTAAAAAAAGTTCAAAAAATATTTTTTTGTATAGTGGCTCATAAAATTTCTAAAAATATGGCAGCTCTGAGCGGACTAAACAAAATGGGGAGTAATAAATAATTTTTGGAATAATATTATATCTTTAAACTGTCTTATCTATAAAAAGAGAGCTTTATAAATAATTAATTGAATAATAATATCGGTTTTAACCCGATTTTTAATGTTTTACCGGTTCCTTAGTTTGTAATAACAAACCGCATGCAATATGGGTTAGCAGGAATCTGATAAATAATTATATTGAGATTAGAATCGAGATAGATAAATATTTTTTTAAGTATGATGTTAAAAGAAAGGTAAGTGGTGTTAGGTTATAATTATTAATTTTATTTAATATGAAACATGTAAGCTGACCTAGGCGGGCGAGCAATAAAAGATACGATTATTTCAAATATCATGCTTACGCTAAAAAAGAAAAGACTACGATAAGTAACGAATGCTATCTTTAATTTTTATAGTTTTTCTATGGAAATATATATCTAATGGTTCCAAAAAAACTTCATATGAAATCTGTTACTCATAAACGGTTCGATTTGAGTCAAATTTTTAAAATAGCCCGATTAAGATTTTAGTTAAAAGAATATTATTCAAATTTTGGTAAATGGAAGTTTATACCTTTCTGTCATCTCAGGAAAATCTCCAGGCTTGCATAATGTTATTTTGGATAAAATCTTAGGCCGTTTTAAAAAATCGACCCAAATCCCGTTTAAAAACACTAATGATATTTTAACTAGTATTGTTAAAAAGCCCGATTTTATTCGATTTTTAAAAATAGCCAGATTAAGATTTCAACCAAAATAATATTATGTAAGCGTAGAGATTTGGCAAATAGAGAACCAAACTTTTCTGATATCTATGAGCAAAATATTAAGGCTTACATAATAATATATTGGCTAATATCTTAATAAAGTTGCTTTTAAACGATCCAAATAGTCCTTTTCAACACTAATATTAACAACTCTAAAACAGGTGAGTCTCATTTTATCATATTTAGTATTATTAAAGAGTGTGTGAAACTTAATATTTTCAAAATTTGCTAATGTTTAGAAAATTAAAATCATAAATTTTACAAAAAATAATTATACAAGACCCTCAAAAGTCTTTTTTGAAAATAAACTTTATGGGTTCCAATATTTTTGGATTATAGGTAGATACACGCCCTTTTTTAAAATATTTTCTAATTACAAATTATAATATAAAATATTATAAACTTCCTAAGTATTATACAATGTAACAAAAAAATATGGGAAAGGCTCAAGTTATTTAATTATCTATTTGCAGACGGATCAGGAGTTAAATATCCATTTACGCATAAAAACATGTGTTGTGAAAATTAAAATATTTTCCGAAAAAATTCATGTAAATTTATTTTTTAAGATTTTAATTAATCTATTATAGGTATGGTGCATCCAAAATTTTCAATTATTTGTTATACAATATCATCATCTTAATAGTTATGAAGCTGATTAAAGGTAGAATAATATTTATTGCTTAGTGATAAGATATTAGATTAGATAAAATTAGGCTGTTATTTACATTTCACTTATAAATGTCTATTATCTTTATTATTAGTAAGGATAAGGTATAATGTTAAGAGTTAACCAGAATTTAGAACTGGGTTAAATTTAATGACCAGATATAGTATTTTTGTTTAATAATTTTGGAAAGTTTATTTGACAATGTTTTAATACTATTAGTGGGAGTTGGAATCAAAGCTTGGAACTCCCATAATTGGCTAATAAAATTTAAATCATGGCCAATTTAATTTTTTTAGAGGTTTTCCCATATTTATATTTAAAATATTTTTTTTATTGCCGGTTACAAACTCTAGTAATACTGTTTAAAACTTCTTTTTTATTGTTTAAATTATAATTTTATTAGTCATTTACCTTGTTTTGGAATGAAATTTAGTTGTTATTATGAGCTGTCATTATTTACCTAAATTATTAAAAACTGGCCTGGTCTATATATCCAACTCAGATTAGTAAAAGGGTATTTTAAAATTCCAACCAGGCAAATATACAAACCTGAGCAATTAACTCTTAGGAAATCATATATAATGGATAATTTAACATTAATTTTCTGCTCTTATTTCCAAAATATTTTTGAAATAATTTGCCATTTAGGCCATAAAATGACTATTAAAAAACTAGGGCTAGGCCAAAATGATTTTTAAAAAAATACTGAACTGGGCAGAGCTGAGCTTATAAGGGAATTTTTTTAAATTACATCCAGGATGAAATCTGACCTCTGAATTTACTGTATATAAAAGTAATATTTTTCATTACAATCAGGTCCATGCAACTGGGTAGCAGGTGGGGCAGATGCTCTGACTGCCAAAAATTATATTAAGAGCCACCAAATTTTGTTTCCTATGAATTAATAACAAATTTTAATTTAAAAAATATAGAAATATTACAAAAGTATGGTTAAAATTACTAAACTCAGTTATTTATTGATAGTTAGATTTCAGTATAATATACTGCATGGAAAAAAATGGTGTTGCAAATAAATGAGATCAAATTGAACTGATTCGTTGATAATTTTTTTTAAACATGGTGAACAGTGTACCTTTTGTTTTATACAAATGGAAAAAAGGGTGACTTCTATTATTCATGCATCTACATGCCATTCAAACTATCAGACAAATCAGATATGACACATTTCGGGCAAACGCATTGGAGGGCTCTTGCCATTGGTTTTAAAATAACATCAGCCTCAAAATGAGTCACCTGAAATAAGTCTTATTATTACTTGCTCACCAGGTTTTCTTTATATGGGCACCACTTCAATATGAATATGCAGGACAAATAACTAGACCCAAAATTGTAAATAAATTTGCTAGCCCTTAACAGGGTGAACATAACGTCATCAACTTTTGAATCTACAGGGATGAACCTTAGGGACAATAAACGCCTTAATTGATCCTTCATCCCTTGGCAATTGGGTCGGTCCCTTGCTTAAAACTACTAATAAATCGGCACTTCGCAGCATCAAATAATAACAACTGTTATACAGATATTTTAGTAACAAATAAAATATTAAAATACTCTTTTTTTCAGATCATAATTTTATCTAGTTATTTAGCATCACTCTGGGTAACTTTGGGGAGTCCTTCATGAAATTTCAGAGACCTGCAGAGGTCCCATTTTCACAGCTCGGCCCTGCCCGGATTTTTTTTTCAAAAAATTTTTTACGGCCCGGCCCGGGTATAAAAATTTTAGGCTCGGCCCGAATATTTTAAAAAAAAAATTTTAGGCTCGGCCCGAATATTTTAAAAAAAAAATTTTGGGCCCGGATTTTTTTAAGCCCAACTCGGAATTTTTTAAAATTATATTCGACCTGGTATATAAAAAATTCACCTATTTGGTATTTTATCATATTTTTAGGCCAGTATTATCATTTAACTCTATTCCGGTGAAAAAAATGACGGTAGTACTCAAGTGGGGTTTAATAGACCCCAATTTCAAATGTATATATCTCCAGTTATATTCATTATTTTCATTTGATATTTGGATATAAGATAGATCTAGCCTTAAACTTGATAAAAATTTAAATATTTTTATTTCTTAAGCCTAGATTAAAGATGATGAGGATAATTATAATTTGTGCCAAAAATTTAAAAAAAAATAACTTATCCATCATATAATCATGATAATTCATAATATGGATCTTTGTTCTACAATATAAAAATAAAATTACACTAATATATTCAAATATAAAAAAAATATAGAACATTGAAATATGCTAAATTTGACATGCAAAACATTTATTACATAAAATATTAATGTGTTCTAAACATAAATTTATTTTACATATTTGACAAAAATATTTTGTTTTTTATAAGGAGTATAGTTTTATGCCATATTTTGATGGTTTATTTGGCATGTATTGCCTGAATGGGCATTTACCATGAAATGCTGGAAGCATTTCATCTACGGTTGCATATTCTGATATTGTATAAGATCTGTAGCAGTTATCAACAAATTCTTGAAAAATATTTCTAATGTGAGTTGCTTTGTCTACCATTTTTCTCTCTTCTCTTGTTAATATGTCATCAAATCTTATTGTATGAATTAAAAATCTGAATCTTTTGAGTCTCAATTCCAAACCCATCAGATTTCAATAAATCTGACATATTTTGATGATTTGAAAATTCCAGCTAAATAAAGAATTCTCAATAATGCCTTGAATTCTATTACATCAACCTCTTTAGTAGAACTTTCATATTGATCAGTGTAGTTTTTACTTATAATTTTAATTTTTTCATTTGTGATAAATAATTTCTTTAATCATTTTTGGTGCTATGAACAAATCAAAACATTTTTCTGGGGTGTCAGCTTCTTTCCCATATTCTTTTACTCCTAGCATATGAAAAATTAAATTTTGTTGACGTGTTCTTACTCATTGATTTTCAATCCTTTTTCCATTGAGTCACCTTATTTTATCTAATTTTACAGAGAATTAGATATGATAAATAATTCCATATTTGCTTAAATAATATTTACGTTTATTGTCTGTTTCAACTAGCTTATCTTCTTCTTCATCTAATTCAGATTGTGTATCATGATTACTATCATAAATAAAATCTTCTTCCTCATTATCAATTACATAGTCATACTAAAATAAAAAGATATTGCATCATAAATAATTTTTTTATTTAATATCAGAATCTGCAAAAATCATAGTATATGATAAAAATAATTTGCGAAATGAGCCAGATGGTGAAAATAAGAATAAAATAACTTCACCAAAAAAAATGATTAGGTTTTCTTTTTCATATATCTCAATCAAAATAAAAGATATTTAAATTTTGTTTTAATAAATTTTATAATATAGTTATTTATAATTTTAAAAATTAAAAAAAAATTTATTAAAAAATTACAAATTTATTCTGGTGGGGTCTCACAAACCCTAATCAGTCACAAAATGCTTATATCTTAAAAACTACTCAACCGAAATATACGAAATTTGGAATATAGATTCTAAGATATATTTGATGAAGCTACTGAAGAATTCAGATCATAATTTTTAATCGTTTTTATTTAATATCATTTCTAGCATGCCTGGGGTTTCATATACCCCACCAGAGTATTGAAGGGTTTAATAAGCAATCATATTAGCTAATGTTGTTAGCCGATTTTAAAAACGGCTAACTCAATATTTTCACCAGAAAAATATTGACTAAGCCTGCAAATTTCGATACTATATGTCTAGACCTTTGTTCCTTCTATGAGCAAAATTTTCAGGCTTGCGTAATATTTCTGAATAAAAAACTGAGTTAGCCGTTTTAAAAATCGGCTCAAAACGAGCCGTTTAACAACGCTACTTACATATTTTATTTTTTTTCATTTTAAACAGATATTTAGTATATTACAAATTGATACTATAAAAAGTTTGTGTAAATAATATTTTGAGAATATACTATATAAAAAATATAAAACTGATATTTTAATTAATAAAAAATATAACATATATTATATAATAATGTATTTAATTCTTTGCGTATTTATTCCATGGAAGGAAAACTATAATTATATTATGTAATAGTTACTATGAGTGTTAGCTAGTGTTAACTTTCACCCAACATTATATTAAATTAATCATAACTATATATAATCATTATAACCATGTATCTAATTGACGAATATAATCATTCATGTTGTATAAATTTTTTAAAAATTCACGGCCCGGCCCGGGTATTTTAAAATAAAAATTTTTCAGGCCCGGCCCGGGTATATTTTAAAAATTTAAAATACGGGCGAGCAATTATATTCGACAAAAAATTGAAATAAAGAAAGAATAAAATAAATATATTTTACAATTATTTTTGTAATATCTTTTTCCTCTATAATTTGATATAAAATCTTTTTAATTAAAAAAAACATTATAAAATCTTTTATAAAATTATGAATAAATACAATATTATTAAATTAACTCCTTTTCTTTTAGAAAACATTAGCTTCCTATGACCGCTATTATTTTATCGCAGATTAAATTAGGACAAATATCTCATTTACTTAATCTCAAATTGTGATCTCAAATTGTGAAATAAAGATTACTAAGTTATTATTGGATGATGAATTAGAAGAGCACAAAATAAAAGATATTTTAAAATTATCTATTCGAATATTTTATGCGACCCTAAAGAATTAAAGTGCCAAGACCTTCCTTTGAAACATCGTTCTCAACACTCAAAAGGATGCTATTAAGCAAAAAAATCGAAGAAAGATAATCGAAAACTAAATTTACTATATTTAGCGTATTAGTTCATGATTGATAATAAAGTTTAGAAATATTGCACATCGTATAGTATAATTTTTAGTTACAGGTTTATATTTGTTTATGTTTATATATTTTCAATAAAAGTCTAAAAAGAGTAGTTAAACCGAATACATTTGTAAATAAAATTTACTTTATATTATACCCATGCTGTATTTTTTTAAACCAGATAGAACAGCTTTAGATGAAG